GTGTTTATATCCCCTCAAACTGGCGATGAGGGTAGGCTTAATCCCCTCCTTTGCCCCCTTTATACTTTTCTAAAGGGAAGAATAAGGGTTTTTCCAAGATTGCACCAGGTGACTTAGTCTTCAGTGTTTCTCTTTCCAGCTGGTTGGTGAACCTCTTTAGAGGCAGTATAGAGTCTGCACTGAGAAGGACCTTGAACAAAAAGGTAAATCCATAAGCTTGATTTGTCTTAGTTCACGCATATGAATATCTCTGTATTGCTGCTAAAGTGTTTGAAGTCTTTTTTATTTTCTTAATTAGGTTAAAGGTTTCCCCAGGGAATTTTGTTCACAGTTTTACCTTGTTAAGAAAATATACTCTTGACAAAGGTGTACTTCAACCCAGGTCCTGTTAGGCTTTTACCATTTCAGAATTAGCCAATTTGAAACCAAAGATTCCAAAGCTAATTAAAATGATCAGGTCCAAGAGAATAATATCATACTCTACCAATAGCTTGAATTTGTAATGGATTTTCAAATATCTAAGCTTTTTCTTGGTCTCATTTGATTCTCACAGTCTTTTCCTTGATTTCTTGTGGAAGAGACCCTTCTTTTCTCTAAACCTTTAGAACTCAAGTTCTAGTAAGTCCAGCTGAGCTAGAAAGTCTCAGAGAACAAACCCAGGCATGAACTATATGTCGGTCATTTGAGGACCAGTCTGGTTAAGTGCAGAGACCTATTTCTAAAATGTTGGCCATTAATGATGATATTTTCTCCCTTCATTGCAACTCATAAAGATTTTAAGACATGAAGGGGTTGAGACTTTATGTTACTTGGAGGAAGGATCCAAACAGATGTGATCATGGACTTGAAAAGCAAACTATCTATGGGAAGAAATCAGGGAACTTCTTTCACCTATTTTACAGAGATGAAAACTGAGGCTCAGAGATGGGAAGTGACTTTCCCAAGATTATGCTACCCTAAGATCACACTTTACCTCATATCAACAATCCAGTTAATATAAAAGCTGGAACTAAATCCAGATCTTCTGTCTCAAAGTCTAGAACTCTTCCTCTGTACCAGACTGCCTCCTTTATTTCATTAGAATACATGTATACATATACATCTGTGGTGCAGTGGATAGGACTCCAGATAGGTCCATAGATCTGAAAGGTAATTTCTTCCTTACTCCTCTAATTTGTTTATGATATGACCTTTTATATCTAGGGGCAGCCAGGTGGTACAGTAGATAGAGTGCCAGGCCTAGAGTCAGGGAGACTCATCTTCCCAAGTTCAAATCTGGCCACACTTACTAGCTGTGTGATCCTGGGCAAGTCATTTAACCCTGTTTGCCTCAGTTTCCTTGTCATTAAAGTGACCTGGAGAAGGAAATGGCAAACTCCTATGGTGTCCTTGACAAGAAAACCCCAAAAGGGGTTATAAAGAGGTAGACATGACTGAAACAACTGAACAGCATCAATAAACACATATACACATGGACATCTATGTATGTATGTATATATGTATGTATGTATGTATGTATATATGTATGTATGTATGTATGTATGTATGTATGTATGTATGTATGTATCTATCTATCTATCTATCTACCTATTGATATAGAACTATCCAGGGATTTATTGAGAAGTACTGCTGCCAGTCAACACATAGAGACATTTTATTAACCAGTTTATTTTATGCTGACATAGGCTTACAGTATTTAAAATTGCTGTTCCAGATAGAGTTTTCATAAAACTTATATATCTTTTAGTTGCATCAAAAAGATAGAATTTACAACTGCCAAAAGGAAAACGTAATGATGTATATTTCAAAGATAAATTTGTAAAATTTATGGCAGACTAATAGAGAAGAAGGAGGTTTATACATCAAAGATAGCAGAAGGGGGAAAATTACATCAGGTCAAATTACAAATTGATCAACAAGCACTGAGAGGAGTTACTCTGGAATTTACAACTAGCTAGGTAATGGTTATCATAAAGCTGAGCCAGAAATTCTTTTACCCCTGACCTGTTATTCATCTGGGTTGAATTCTTGGAAATCTCAGCTAAATGCCACACTATTAGGAAAGTGTCAACCAGTTACACGATTTTCCTTACAAGTCAAATGACCGCAGTGGAGCAAATAGAAAGGAAATTAAAAACTCTTCTGACAGTACCTACCCATCCACCTGCTTCCAGTCCCAGTCTGTCTCCCCTGAGCTTCAGTTCTGTATTCCTAATGGTTATTTCAACCTGGATGCCCTAAAGATATATCAAACTCAATGCACCAAAATCAAACTGGCCATCTTTTCCCCAAATCATTTCTTCCAAACATCTCTATTTCTGTGTAAGGTCCCACCAACTTTCTAGTTTTCTAGGCTCCTCATCTTAGCATTCTTTTCCTCCTCATGCTCCTTCTCCCTATTCATTTTTCCAGGTGCTCTTTCTTGCCTCTCTACATCTCCTTCAACATGTGACACCTTTTCTCCACTCACACAAGTATTAAGTTGCTCCAGACCCTCATCACTTCTCATCTTGATTATTGTAGCGGTCTCCTAATTAATCTCCTTGCCTCCAGTCTTTCCAGCCTATTCTGTTCATTGCTTCCAAAGTAATTTTCATTAAATGCAGATCTGACCATGTGACTCTATTGCTCAATCAACAGTGACTTCCCATTGCTTCTAGTATAAAGTCCAAAGTTCTCTGTTTAGCTTTTTAAGTCCTTCACATCCCACCCTCAATGTTTCTTTCAAGCCTTGGTTGACATTAAGCCCACTCCTGTCATTCTGCATTCTGCAGTCCAACCACACTTATAGTATCTCATACGTGACACTCCATCACATATCTCCGTCTTTTCTATCTCTATACTGACTGTTCCCTGTGCCTGGATCTCACTCTCTCCTTACTTCCACTTCATAGAGTCTCTTTCTTTCTTTAAGCCACAGCTCAAGGAGCATCTTCCCCAAGAAGATCCTGAGACCCCCATTTCCAAATTAAATTGTATTTAACCGCTTTGTATGCATTCGCATTGATTCATTCTACATTTATGCTCTCTGTACTTACAAATGTACTTGTCTTCCTCATTAGAATGTAAGCTCTTTGAATGTAGAGACTGTTTTCTTCTTTGTCCTTGTATCCTCAGTACCTAGCACAGTGACTAAAACATGCTGTTGTTCAGTTGTTTGAATCATGTTCTGACTCTTCATGACCCTATTTGGGGTTTCCTTGGCAAAGATACTGGAGTGGTTTGCCATTTCCTTCTCCAGCTCATTTGACAGATGAGGAAACTGAGGCAAACAGGATTAAGTGACTTTCCCAGGGTCACACAGTTGTGTCTGAGGCCAAATTTGAATGCAAGTCTTCATGACTCCAGGCTTGGTGCTGTATCCATTGTACCACCTACCTGCATACTATGAGACATATTTTGTGTTTAATAGATGGTTGTTGATTTTCTTGATTACCAAAACAATAGACCGCAAAGATAGGGTGGTGGCCCATGGACAGGGAATATCTGAACTCCAGTCTTCAGCTCTCCATGCTATGGGGAGATAGCAGTCTGAATTAAGGAAGACAAGTGAGAGATTCTGGGCTCAGGCTGGCTCTGGGATGGTATTCTCTCAGGAAATGCCAGACCAGAAAAGTGGGCAAGTAAGAAGGGGGCTGATGATCAGTTACTATACCCTAGGTCTCATGCTCAGACCCCACTCTAGGGAAACAATTCCAGGGAGAACAAGGGCTTGATAGGACTTTACTGTACTTTTCTCATTTCATTTTCCCCAGATATGTGAGAAGGTCATAAGCTCAGCAGACTCTTATATTCAACCGTATCTCCAGACATTCCCAGGTATGGATCCCATTTAGACTATGCATAGCACATGGATTAATGATGCCAGACCCTCAGTCACATCTCAGTAACTCAACAGCCATATCTAAGTTGGAACAGAAATACAAGCCATGGTACTCTCAAGACTCATTAATAATGAACTTTGGAATAGATTTCTTTTATTAAAACAAAATAGATTTATTCATTTTGGGCATTCATTTAACCCTTGCTTTTATTTTCAGTTTGGATATTACCTCTGATTCTATAGTCCCATTGATTATCAAGTCAAGGGAGCAGCTTTGGGTCTATAGGAAGAAGATGTTTGGCATTACTACACAGGTGCCGAAGATGGGCTCTTCCTACAGTAGGGAAGGCTCATGTAGACACATCATCATGTGTCTTCAGAAGGACAGTTAATGTCCTACCAAGCTAGGTCTAGAGAGTCAAGCATTCTTCCTGGTGGCTAGCAGAAAAAGATCAGAAATATGGCAGAGGCAGTGGAAGTAGAGCAATGGAACAGGTATAAAGTTCCTATGGCCAATCCACAGAGTGGGAGGGTGGAGGGTTGGCTGCACATTGACAACTTAATGACTAGGAGTCGGTTGAGCCACATGGTGGAGCTGATGGAGGAGATTCCCTCTGAACTCAGCTTCCCATGGGGTAGACATGGTCTGGCTAGGACACTGGATTGGACCCTGACTCTGCTTCTTTCTTGGTTTGCAGTCACTGTAAAGGTTGATGAGATTTCCAGCTTGGATTATGGTCTATTGGAGCCACCCCAGATAAGCTGGCAGAAAATGGATATGATGTTTAAGGTGAAACAGCCCTGTTTAGTGGAGTTCTTGCAGCAAACGGTGTGGGAAAATCCTGCCCCTTCCCAGCCCCACCAAACTGTGCATCTGGGAAAGGTCTATGCACCTTCCTCCACTCATTACCCTGCTTTCCCATGTACTAATCAAGCCAATGGGGGCTGGACATATAGGGGTTCACTCCATCAAATTATAGCAATATATTTGGTCTCAGAAGCCTGATCCCCAGGAGACTTGAGGGAAAGTCCAAATATAGGGGGCACTCCTACCTCATGACGTTTCTCTCCATCTACAGGGTGAGTTTTTCAGCACCAGACAACACTCCCCTGTTTTTTTTGATGCTCCACCACTGAACCTTCCTCGAGAAAACAATCACATGATTTACTTTGGAATCTCAGATTACCTCTTCAACACAGCTAGCATAGTTTACCAAGAGGCTGGGGTCATGAACTTCTCCATCACCAATGACATGGTAAGGAAGGTGCCCTGGTGGGAATGGCCAGAGGGTCAAGGAGATTGAGCAACCTTCAACTCAAGTTGTTAGAGTAGGAAGACACATTAGAAATCATCTGGTCCAACCATTTTGTTTTACTGATGCATAAACTGAGGCCCAGAGACAGAAAGAGACTTGCCCAAGATTATACATCTAGAAATTGGTGGAACAGGGCTTCAACCCAGGCCTTCAGACCTCAAATCCAGAAATTCCTTCCCTCTCCCACATTGCCTCTTATCCATAAACAGGGATAGGAGAGTGACCAGTTCAAGAATGAAGGTCCCATTGGTGGCTCCATCATGAAGAATAATCGTTTGTTAGCCTAAAAGATAGCATGACAGATAGCATGACAGGTTAGGCAGGTATAGTTTATACAAGGTCGGGATTCAATTCCAGCTGCTGACAGATTATACTGCAATTCAGAGAAGGGAGAAATCAGGAATTTTTAGCCTTAGATCTGGAAGGGACTTTACAAATACTGAGTCTAACCCCACATTTTATAGATGGGAGAACAGTGGTTTGTTGAGAGGATGTGACTTACTCCAAGTAAATTAGCAAATTATTTTCAGAACTATGTCTGGAGCCTAGGTCTCCTAACTTCGGTAGTGACTAATATGAAATGTGACTTAGTGGAGTCAGGACCCTGGATGATGGGCTGGGTTTGGTCACCACCTTGCTTCATGATGCAGAGAAAATCCCTTTCCCTCTCTGGTTCTTAGATTCTGTGTGTTTCAATGTGACTAGCTAGGATTTATATACAACTTTAAGGCTTGCAAAGCCCTTTACATATGTTAACTTATTTGGTGCTCACAACATCGCTATCAGGAAGGTGCTATTATTATATCCATTTTACAGAGGTATGAAGCCTTGACCAGGGTCATACAGCTAAGAAATGTCTAAAGCAGGATTTGAACTTATCTTACTGACTACAAGGCTAGCACTGAGCCGACCTAACTGCCTACAAGGAAGATTACAACATTTGCTCTATTTACCTACCTCACATGGTTATTCTAAGCATCAAAAGAGAGGTTATACATGAAAGCAAAATACAAGCTATGCGTGAGCTATTTTATCATCTCTTTCCTTGGTCACTATAATAATGCCCAGGACCCTGAGATTGATGCCTGACCCACTACCCATATTTCCTTGACTCCTTACCCCTTAGGGGAACTTTCTGAGTTCCTGTGGGTTTTTCTTGTGTCAGATTCCACCAGAGGCTGGCATCAGTCTAAACACCTCCTCATTCAGCAACCTGATCCCTGAGCTGACTTCGGCCTACCCCGATATGCTGATGGAGTTTCAAGTGTTCCCTGCTACATCTCCCCTCCTGGTCTTCAGTTCTGGGAATATAACCCTCAAGCCAGAGATCTACGTGGAAGCCTTTGTTGTCTCGCCTGACTCCCTCCCAAAATCTGTCTTCCTGCTCAGTGTGGTCAGTCCATATCTACAGATGAAAGAGATCTGATCAAATCCAACCATTTTTAAATGAGTATACAGAAGTCACTAAGATGTCATTCCTCACCTCCAGGAGCTTACAGTCTAATTCAAAACAGGCAATCCCCTACAGTGCAAGTAAATGGGATGAAGTAGCAATACTTGAGTGCCTTCATTCCAGCCCATTCTAGAAAGATAGGTTTGGAAGGTGCCTCAACCTTTCCATCTAAACCATTAAAAATACATGGTGGCTGATCTTGTTTTGAGAATTCTCCAGGGATAGAGATTGGTTGGCATATCCACTGGTAGCCTATTCCAGTGTTTAATTTGCCCTTAGGGTCACAGAGTTCTTCCTCACATTTAACTAAATGCTCTCTTGCTGAGACAGACCCATTTCCTCTCATTTAGTATATTGTTCTAGTGGAGTGCTGGTTCTCATTTATAACCCTTTTCCTACCTGAAGACAGTGGTTAAATCACTTATTTAATTGGACTAGATGACTTGTCCTCAACATATCTCCTTCCCTATTCCCAGGTACAACTTATACCATCCATAGAAATAAATGAACTGAGCACCTGGGAACCTGGGTTCTAATCCCAGCCCTATCAGTAACCTATTGTTTGACCTTAGACACCCCCCTCCTTTCATATCACTTCACTGCCAGAGCTTCTCTTAATTTCTTTGTAAAAATGCTGGGGCTGGGCTGCATGATCTCCAAGGTCCCCTCTGTTTCTGACACTGTAACCATGCATGATAACTGCTTTTGCATTACCTGCCTCTCTCTGCCCTCCCTCATGATTTCCTAAGCCCTATCGCCAAGGCAAGCACTCAAACTCTCTGTGATGACATTTCATGAGTTGGCTCAGGGATTCTCTGGGTTCTCTTCTATCTCTAGAAAACCAAAGTCTCAGCAAAAGTGATGTTGACCTCTGGCAGAATCACTGGATCCATACATCCGGCAAGGTAAGAGAAAAGTGTCCCTCCTCCATCCACGTACCCAAGGCTTTCCCTAATTTTCATTCAAATATGACGCAAATTTCCTAAGAGGAAAGATAGGAGAGAGGTCAATTCCATTCTGTTCCCATTGTCAGTTCAGCTGAATATAAGAGGGAATGCCACTTCTGGAAAACACTTCTGGGGCAAAGGCCTTTGAGGTAAATCTAAACAATAGGAGAAGTTGCCAAGGACTAAGACCCGCCTCCACCTCTTCTATTAATGCTACACTCCCACAGGTGCCTAATCATTTCACTAAATAAGTTTTCACCAAAAGCTGTGAGCCAGCCTTTTGCTAGTCAGGAATAGACACCATGAGAGAGGTGAGTAAGCAATTGCAGTGGTTTCAGTCAGGAGACCTGGGTTCAATCCTGACAATGATGTTTATAAGCTGCGAGACCTGAGGCATCATATAATGTCTCCATGCCATAGTTACCTTAAATATTTTACAATATAAAATACAGGATTGTAGTGTTTTATAAACCTTAAAATGTCATAGAAAATGTGCTGGTTTTTTCATTATTATTTTTCATCAGTGCAGGAAATTTCTTCTACCAATACAGACTTAGAATCTCAGAGAGTTGCCTAGGGCAGGAACGGGTTAAATGATTTGCTCAGGGTCACAAGGTCACACAGACAATATATATCAGAGCCTACTCAAACTCAGGTCTTTGTGACTCCAAAGTCACTGTCATCATCATCATCCTCATTATCCAAAATCATAAAAGACTCCTTGTCCTTAGAGCTACTAATTTGGTTGGAGAGAACAGACATACATATTAGCAGATAACTACTAGTACTAGATAATGTGTGTGACAAAGTCCTATGAGTGGCAGAGACAGAAAATGCTATGAGAATGCCATCTTCAGGCCCTTCCAGTAGGTGCTATAGGAATTGAGGGGGAGGAAGGGCAGGATAATCCTGGAAGGCTTCTTGGAGGTGTTAGAGATTGAGCTGGGTCTCCAAGAATGGAATAGGATTCAGACAAAGATGGAGGCAGGGGTCAGGGCACTCTTCTTTGCACAGTAGTGACTCTGGAGCCCCATGCTCTCCTATTATTTTCTTGTTCTTTTGGTAGCACTGTGTTTCAACCCCCTTGGCCCACCCTTCACCAGATCTCTTGAGTACCTCTTCATTTTGGGGGCCTCCTAACACTGGAAGAATCTATGAGATAATTCAGTCTTTGCTTCCTCTTACAGTCAGTTGGTCATGGAAGTGAAATACTCTGCATTTGGCCGGTTCGATGTGAGTTATTTAGTTGTTATAATTATTATTATTATTTTTTGACTTTACACTCATGTCCAATCCTATCCCGGAAAAATGCTGTGGGGGGGAGGTACAGAATGGAAGAGGAGGGGAAATTGTCCTTGCCATGGAGAAGCTTACATTCTAATGGGAGACATCAGACACATGCAGAGCCAAAATTCCACTGAGTGTGGCCAGTATATGATTTGGTACTAAGAAGGGTGGTGAGTTCTAAGAAGAATTAACATGGACTGTGGACTAGGAAATTGCCCTTTGCTGCTCCCAGATCTCTCCCTCTGCTTCATTCTTTTCAGTGCAGATGGAAACTTGGTAAATGAATCATCATTTCCCACAAACCTACAAAGATATATCTTGGTACAGGAGAAATAGCATTGGGCTGGGAGATAGGCCCTGTGGTCCCTTCCTGAGTCTGCCACTGATTCCCTGGGTTACTCTCGGATAGTCTCTGACCCTCAGTTTCTTCATTGATAAAATGGGGCAATCAGACTCAACTAAGCTCCTTTTATTTTAAGTAACTTCAGTTTCTCTGACAGTTTCTTCATCCTGAACCTCTACTTCTTTCATCCTCCCTGCCCCAGACCTTTCCCCCTAGGTTTTATAGTAAGTAGTTGATGGTCTGAAAAGCAGAGCAAGTCAGAGCCGGGAGAAATTTAGAGAGATCATCTATTCCTCCGGGCCATATCTGGCCTGTGGCCTATTTTTGTACTGCTTGAGAGTTAAAAATCATTTTTATATTTTAAAATACATCCCTTTTATGTTTGTTTCTTCCTTTTTTTTGTTTAACACTTGAAAAAATATTATCAAAATTTTATGGTTTAAATTCTCCCCTCTCTAGCCCCTTCCCCAGGCAAGAAATAGGATACTCATTATACACGTGAAATCATGCAAAACATATTTCCATATTAGATATGTTGCAAAAATAAAGTGAGAAAAAAGCTTCAATCTGAACTCAGAATTTATCACTTCTCTCTCTGGAGGTGGATGGTATTTTTCATTATGAATCCTTCAGAATTGTCATGGATCATTGTATTGGTCAGAGTAGCTAAGTTTTTCACAATTTATCATCATTGCAACATTGCTGTTACTGTGTACAATGATCTCATGGCATTTCACTTTGCATCAGTTCATATAAATCTTCCCAGGTCTTTTCTGAAACTATTCTGTTCATCATGTTTTATAGCACAAGTACTCCATCACAATGATATACCACAACTTGTTCTGCCATTTCTCAATTGATGAGCATCCCCTCACTTTTCAATTCTTTGCCACCACAAAAAGAGCTGCTATAAATATTTTTGTTCATATAGGTCCTTTCTTTTTTATTTTTTTTAAATCTCTTTGGGATACAGACCTAGTAATGATACTGCTAAGTCAAAGGGTATGCACAATTTTATAGCCCTTTGGGTAAAACTCCAAACTGTTCTCCAAAATATTGGAGAACTCCACGAACTGTGCATTAGTGTACCTGTTTTCCACACCCCCTCCAGCACTTATCATTTTCCTTTTCTGTCATGTTAGCCAATCTGATAAGTATAAAATGGTAGCTCAAAATTGTGGGGCAGCTAGGTGGCACTGGCCCTGGAGTCAGGAGGACCTGAGTTCAAATTTGGCCTCAGACACTTGACACTTACTAGCTGTGTGACCCTGGGCAAGTCACTTAACCCCATTGCCTAGCCAAAAGAAAAAAAAATTGTTTAAATTTGCATTTCTCTGGTTATTATTGATTTAGAGCATTTTTCAAATGATCATTGACAGCTTTGATTTTGTTCTTTGAAAACTGCTGGTTCATAACCTTTGACCATTTATCAACTTGGAAATGGCTCTTATTTTTATAAATTTGGCAGTCCCTATATATATATATAAATGAGGACTTTATCAGAGAAACTTGTAGAATTTTCCCCCAGTTTCCTGCTTTCTTTCTAATGGTGGCTATATTGGTTTTATTTACGCAAAAGCTTTTTTTTAACTTTGAAAAATCGATTTTACTTATATCTTTTGTTTTCACATCACCTATGTTGCCCAGTTTCTCTCTCTTTCTCTCCTCCCAGAAAGCTAGACACTATAACAAATAATTCCTCTAAAGAAGGAGAGAAAAAAGATTCAGTAAAACCTATCAATACATAGGAAAAATCTGACATTATACAGAAGGTCCCATAGCCATGTCACCCCTCCCCCTCCACCTCTTTTTTTTTTTAAATATACATTTATTTATTTTTAGTTTTCAACATTCACTCCCACAAGTTTTTGAATTCCAAATTTTCACCCCATCTGCCCCCTCCCCCACCCCAAGATGTCATGCATTCTGAATATCCCTTCATCTAGTCTATCCTCTCTTCTATCTCTCTCCCCTTCTCTTATCCCCTTACCCTTCTATTTTCCTGTAGGGCAGGATAGATTTCTGTACCACATTTCCTGTATTTCTTATTTCCCAGCAGCATGTGAAAACATTTTTTTTAAACACATGTTTTTAAAACTTTAGGTTTCAAATTTTCTCTCTTCCTGCCTCCCCACCCACCCTCATTGAAAAGGCAAGCAATTCAATATAGGTTGTACATGTGCAAAACACGTCCATAGTAGACATGTGAAAAACTAACTCTATTTCCCTTAATCTTATCCTGCCCTCCCATTTATTCTATTCTTTCTTTTGACTTTTCTCTGAATTTTTACTTCTGATTAACCCCTTTCCCAATCTGCCCTCCTCTCTATCATCCCCCTGCTCTCTTCTCCCCTTCTCCCCCTATTTTCCTGCAGGGTAAGACAGATTTCCATACCCAATTGAATGTGTATGTTATTCCCTCCTTAAGCCAAATCCTATGAGAATAAGATTCACTCATTCCCTGTCACCTTCCCCCATTTCCCCTCCACTGTAAGAGACTTTTCTTTTCTGGTTTTTTTTTTGTGAGATAATTTACCCCATTCTACCTCTCCCTTTCTTCTTCTCAGAGTATAATCCTCTCTCATCCCTTAATTTTATTCTCCAGATATGACCCCTTAATCTTCAACTCACCCTGTGCCCTCTATCTATCTATCTACATATAAATACATATAATTTTTTTCCTCCAACTACCCTAATACTGACAAAGTTCTCATGAGTTATAAATATCATCTTTCCATGCAGGAATGTAAACAGTTCAACTTAATAAGTCTCTTATGATTTCTCTTTCCTGTTTACCTCTTCATGTTCCACCTGAGTCCTGTATTTGAAAGTCACATTTTCTATTCAGCTCTGGTCTTTTCATCAAGAATGCTTGAAAGTCCTCTATTTCACAGAATGACCATTTTTTCCCCCCAAAGGATTATACTCAGTTTTGCTGGGTAGGTGATTCTTGGTTGTAATCCTATCTCCTTTGCCCTCTGGAATATTATATTCCATGCCCTGCGGTCCTTTAATGTAGAAGCTGCTAAATCTTGTGTTATCCTGATTGTGTTTCCACAGTACTTGAACTGTTTCCTTCTGGCAGCTTGTAATATTTTCTCCTTGACCTGGGAACTCTGGAATTTGGCTACAATATTCCTAGGAGTTTTCCTTTGGGGATCTCTTTCAGGAGGAGATCTGTGGATTCTTTCAATTTCTATTTTGCCCTCTGGTTCTACTATATCAGGGCAGTTTTCCTTGATAATTTCTTGAAAGATGATGTCTAGGCTCTTTTTTTGATCATGGCTTTCAGATAGTCCAATAATTTTTAAATTCTCTCTCCTGGATCTATTTTCCAGGTCAGTTGTTTTTCCAATGAGATATTTCACATTGTTTTCTAATTTTTCATTCTTTTGGATTTGTTCTACTGCGTCGTGATTTCTCATAAAGTCACTATCTTCCAATTGCTCTATTCTAATTTTTAAGGAAGTATTTTCTTCAGTAATCTTTTGGACTTCCTTTTCCATTTGGCCAATTTTTGTTTTTAGGGCATTCTTCTCCTCATTGGCTTTTTGGACCTCTTTTGCCATTTGGGTTAGGCTATTTTTTAAGGTGTTATTTTCTTCAGTATTTTTTTGGGTCTCCTTTAGCAAGCTGTTGACTTGTTTTTCATGATTTTCTTGCATCACTCTCATTTCTCTTCCCAGTTTTTCCTCTACTTTTCTTACTTGCTTCTCAAAATCCCTTTTGAGCTCTTCCAAGGCCTGGGACTGATTCATATTTTTCTTGGAGGCTTTGGATGTAGGAGCTTTGACTTTGTTGTCTTCTTCTGGTTGTATATTTTGATCTTCTTTGTCACCAAAGTAAGATTCTATGGTCTGACTCTTTTTGCGCTGCTTGCTCATGATCCCAGCCAATTACTTGAGTTTTAAACTCTTTGTTAAGGTAAAAGTCTGCTTCCAATGTGGAGAATGTATTGTCCCAAGCTTCAGGGGTTTGTACAGCTGTTTTCAGAGATACTTGTAGGGACCTGTAAATTTTCAGTTCTTCCAAGGTGGTATGATAAGGGGCGAGGTGTTTACTCCTTTCCTGGCCTGTGACCACAAGTATTCCTTTCTGTCCTGTAACTGTGAGGAAGGGTTCCTCTCCACAGCCACTCCAAGCTCCACCAGGCCAGTGTTCCTCCTCACCCCCAGCACCACTGCCCAGAACTGTGACCCAGATCCAAATACGGGCAAAGCAAGAGATTCCTGCCTCAGCACTGGCAAAGAGATCCCTGCAATCCCTCTCTGATCAGCCACTGGATTCCCCCTCAGTCTGTGGGCTGGAAGCTTGGGAAGCAGCTGCCCTCCCCCCCAGGGCCACGCTCTTGGGGAATGGAGCTGAAACCCCACCTTCCTGTCTCAGCACCGACAGAAACAGACTTTTCCCACTGACCTTCTAAGTTGTCTTTGGCATTTGTGGATTGAGGAGTCTGGAAACCTCCACAGCTGCCCACGATTCAGTCCTCTGAGGCCTGCTCCAGGTTCGCTGCAGCCTGCGCGGCCACGCTGCACTGCGCTGTGCTCCCAGCCCAGCACAATACACCTTTTTGATCAATCATCCAGGTTGTCTTGGGCTGGAAATTTGTTTCACTCTTTCTTTTTGTGGGTTCTGCTGCTTCAGAATTTGTTTAGAGCCATTTTTTATGAGTATTTGGAGGGGTTCGGAGGATAGCTCAAGCAAATCACTGCTTTCACTCTGCCATCTTGGCTCCTCCCCCTCAAAAACTTTTTAATTACATGTAATCAAATTGATCCATTTTGCTTCCTGTGATCTTCTCTATTTCTTATTTGGTCATGAACTCTTCCCTTATCCATAGATCTGCAAGGGAATTTTTTTCCCATCCTCCCCTAATTTGTACATCTCCCTTTATATCTGAGTAATATACTCATTTTTACATTATGCTAGTGTACAGTGTGGGATGTTGGTCTATGTGTAATTTCTTCCAGTCTGCCTTTTAGTTTTCCTGTAGTTTTTATTGAATAAAATACATAAAATTTTAAAATACAATAAAACTAAAATTTAAAAAGTAGTTAGCTTTCTAGGCCATATAAAAATGTGGAGGATCAATCCAATTGTAGTTTGTGGACCCCCAATCTATTATAACCACTTCATTTCATAGAGAAGGGCATCTGAGTCTCTGAGAGCTGAACTAACTTGATCTAAGCAACATAGGAAGTTAATGGTAAAGACGTGATCTGAACTCAGGTCCCCTTAGCTTTTAGGTCAGGGTTCTTCCCAGTACACCATGGTTGCATTGCCTTTACTTCATTCTGTCAGTATTCAGGAGCCTTGTGAATGATCTTTGTGAGGATCAAAGAGACAATAAGTGAGTTCCCCTAAATGTAAGGTATTTAAGTTTAATCCTTTATTAAGGAATCTGTAGTTTTTCTTTTTCTTCAACCTATCCAGAATGCACTTTCTATCTCCTATTTTTTTTTTCTAGGTGTCCCCAATACAGCAAACTCTGAATTTCTTGGCTTCTCTATTCCTGTTCCCTGCTGCCAATGGTAAGAGGCAACAGATACAAATTTCTCCAAGGAAAAAAATATAAGCTATTATTATTATTATTATTTTAATTGGGCAGTGTATAATGGAGCTAGATGTAGTTCCACAATCAGTAGTGGTGGGTTCTATTTGCTTTTCCACTGTTCACTCTATCTTGGGCAAGTCATGTCCCTTCGATGTGCCTTAGTTTCAAATCTCTGTCTAGCCACCCTTGAAGGGCTGCTTTGGGGACTGAATGAAATAATGGATGGTAAAGCACTTTGGAAAGTATGAAATTCAGGATACACTCATATGAGGCAGTGTTGGGTAAGGGCTGTTTCCTTTGGCACCAGAGCATCTCATCCTGCCTATATTGCCTTTGACCTGGTGAGGAGACATTGGGTGCTAGATTAGTGCAAAATGAAGGTGGCTGTCAGGCCACCCTATACTAGCATAGACCTTCATTTCTTAATCCTTTGCCCCAAGATCAGCCTCCAAATGGAGCCCAATTCAAGCTGACAGAAGGCAGGTTCAGTTGTGGGGCAGCAGTTAAAGGCAATGACAGCTTTCACGTGTGTTCTGATTCTCTGCATAACAGATCTTTGCTGCCTTTATTTTTAGCAAAGCTTCAGGCTGGTTTCTCCCTCCCTCTGACAAGAGACATTTCCTTCTATGACTTCATTCTGCAGCCTTATAAGGTCAGTGTAAAGCACCGCTCCAAGGAGGAGGAGATTCTGGGATGGTTGAGGTAACCTAGTGCCCTGGTTTGGGATTTCAGGAGAGGAGTGAGGGTTGGAAGAGGGGATTTGTTGGAGGATCAAGCTCAGAACTTCAGTAGGGCCCTGGGATGGGAGTGGGAGGGAAAGAAAAGAAGTAGACCTGGATGAGGAGTAGAGATGGATTGGCTTCCATTACACACAGATGAGAGGTTTGGCTTCCATTCACAAATTGCTGCTGTATCTGCCTTAACATTGACAAGTATCTCTGACACATGGGAATTTAATTCCAACACCACTAACCCCATCCCAACCTCAATAGAACTATCAGATGAATTTCTGAACCAGACCAAAAATCCAAACCTTATTTGGGTACTCAAGGACTGAGGGAGGGAAGTGGCCTGAAATTTTTTTTGAAGCTGGTTTTAAGGCAGGATCCCTGGACATTTAATGCTGACAGAGAGAAACTTTGTTAAATTGGTGGAGGAAGTTGTACTGTGTAGATGGTAGTCTGTATATTTGAGACACCAAAAGGGTATTCACCGAATACTGCTCTGTTCTCCACTTTACATTGCATGGCTTTAGGAAATTGGATCAAAACTCGACTGGGGAGAGGTATCAAAAGCAGAGCGAAGACTGGCTCATGTGGAAGTCAGATCTCAAGAAGATAACTACCTAGGTCCAAGTTTAGGAAGGGAGGAAGGAAACAAAAAAGTCCTCTGAGCAGCTACATCCTATGGCATGAAATTCATGCTCCTTAAGTTCCTCTTGGTCCCTTCCTCCTATCTTACTTACTATTATTTCAGACACAATTCTAAGGAATTGGGCTCTATTTTGTTGTGACCTTACACCCCACAACAGAAGAAAGAAATTAGCAGGTAGAAGCAACGAGAAGTGACAACTTAAAGTTATGAGGAGTCAAAATTATTATGAAAGTAAGACTATGAGCTTAAAAATCAAAGTTTAAGCTCATTTAGAAAGGACAAATTAAATTAAGATGCTTAGTTTATTTAAGAAATCCAGGAATGGTTCAATTAAAAAAAAATGAATGTTTCTAGGGTAAGCTTCTAAATGCAAGTGAATAAATGGAAAGTGGAAATGGTATAAAAGAAAGAAGACGTAGTAGAAGCCCTGCAAGACCCAGCTCGGGTATTAACTTACTTTTGTGACCTTGGGAACATCCTTTCCTCTCTCTGGGCCCTAGCTTGTTTCTCCATACAGTGAAAGGGTTAGATGACCTCTGAGGTCCTTTAAATCTATGTCTCTAAGAACAGCTTGTTTTCCAACCTCATGAGATGAATGAGCTGTTTCTTTCTGATCTAGACTATGGACAGGCCTGCTGAGATGGTGACGATGGTGGTGGTCTCTAGCTAGCAGTGTCTTCTGACTATGCTTTAGTGAGAGATAGTAAAGGGAAAGGATTTGACATTGCTAGAAGCTTTTGGTATATCTTCTCCCTTAGGTGATGAAAAACATAACATAGGACAAGAGGGCAGCACCGGGCACCCACAACTATCTTATATGTGCTCGGCCAATGAAAGTTACATGACAGATGACATTGATCTATATTGCTCAGAAAATCACCTGCCAGTTGGAAAAAAGGATAAATGGATATACAAAGCTGGGCTCAATGCAGACCACGGGGTTTAGGAACGGCAGGGTTGTGATATCTCTCAGTTGACCTAGCTTCTTATTAAAGTGAGAATTTGCATTTCTCATTGAAGGCAGCTCACATTAAATTGGAGACCTGTCTTTTGGGAGGAAAGGATGATCTTTTCTGTTTATTCTTTTCTGATCCTCCCCTAGAACTATCTGCTTTTGGGAGCCAACATCCATTATGGACTAGAGAGTGAAAACTGACTGGAGAACATCAAAAGCATGCTGGAAACAAAAAGGTCACCTTCCCACCTCCATGTACCTGAGCAGTGTTTCTTCTGCTTCTTTGCCTGTCCTTGTGGAAATTGGAGGCTGTATTTCCTAATCAACGACTTTCAGCAAAGCAGAAGATATTCCTTATAGATATTTTTTCTTTCTCATCTCATCTTTTCCATATCCAGGGTCTAAATCGTCCCCTGATATTCCTCTCTCTCCTGACAAGGCCATCTCATAGCAGAGAAAAGGGAAGGGAAAGGAAGAAGGGCACTTACTCTTCTTGCAACACAAAAACCATTAAATATTTATTATGTTAACTTTAGTGTCAATCTCATTTGATTTCAACATGAAACTTCTTGCGAGCATGCTCAGGCTTTGAAGGATTTTGTGAAATATTAGCTCTGGAATTATAATTAGGCAAATTAAGTTGGTTGAGTGTAGTGGAGAGGCATAGAGGACAACCTGTCCTGGTCTGGTACAATTGCCCCAGCAACCTCTGGGAGGAGAAGGAGGAAAATGGGCAGGAAAGGAGCAGGACTATAGTGGCATGATATAGGACCAATGGAAGGTCATGAGATATGTGGATATTGGGTAAGAAGAATTCCATAAAGCAGAAATTCTTAATCTTTTTTTGTGTCATGAATGTCTTTTGCAGACTGGTGAAACCTATGGACCCTTTCTCAGAATGTTTTTAAATTCACAAAACACAGAACGTTACAAAGTAAACAAATTATGATGAAATACAATTGTCAAAATATTTTTTAAAATTAAATTCATGGACCCTAGCTTAAAAATATCTGCTATATAGAGATGCACACCTTCCAGATGTTAGAATCCTAGGGCTTAAAAACCCTTTCATCCTACCCTAGTTATGCCTTAGCTCATTAGAACTGGATGGGATTTTTGCAATCGCAGTATCATAGGCTCATAGATTTAAGGCTAGAAGGATCTAGTTTCCTCATTTCATAGATGAGGAAACTGAGGTCCAGAGAAGGTAAGGAATTTGCCTAATGTTGCACAAGTCCCAAGTAGCAGCACCAGGACTCAAGCATCCGTTATACCACAATGTCTATCCATGATTCTATGACATTCACTTAAAGTCAGTTTAGTAAAATAGCAGCATGACAGCACTCCATGTGTTATAGATTTCAGTTTCAAGTTCCAGATGTGGATAGGAATAGTAAAAAAATCAACATTCCCATGAAATGATGTTTAGTGTGTCATGGAGACTGCATAATGACACCAAGTAGAGAGATCAGATAAGGCTCCCTGGATGAAGTAGCATCTGTTTGGCTTTCAAAGATAGCTAAGAAATGAACAAGTGGGTATTGAGAGGAGGTGAGTAAAAGAATATAGATGAAAAGGCGCCAAGCATTTTTAGAGGCTAAAGATTGGCAAGACATGAAAGAGAATAGTTGAAAATGTGTGTGGCTAAGCCCTGGGGATACAAAGAAAGGCAAAAGCCTGCCAGTCCCTGCTCTCAAAGAGCTCATAATGTCATGGGAGAGACAGCATGCTAACAACTATGTACAGCCAAACTACATATAGGATAAATGGAAGTTAATTGACAAAGGGAAGATACTAGAAATGATGAGGACAGAGAAAAGCTGATTGTAGAAGGTGAGATTTTTAGCTGTGACTTGAAGGAAGCCGGGGAGGCCAGGAAGCAGAGATAAGGAGGAAAGAATATACCAGGCATGGGGCACAGCCAATAAAAATGTTCATTGTCTGGAGAAGGAATGTGATATTCAAGGGAAAGCAAGGATGCTAAAGTCACTGGATTATAGAGTACATAGCTGGAAGCATTGGTGTGTGTAGGGTCCAATATTCCCCATGCACAGGGATATTCTCAGCTTCCCCAAACAAAGGAGTTAGTTTTTATACTGAAGGAAGAAGCTGAAAACTCCAGATCATTTATAAATAGTAGTTTAATCAATTGGGTTACTTACATTAGGGGCCAGTCTGGGGCAGCTGTCAGACAAAAAAGTCTCAATAATTGATTAATCTCCACAAAGAACCCCCCCCCAAAAAAAAAAGCCTGGTGATAATTTATAGGAAACAGACAGAAGTAGGATATGCTATAGAGCACATTGCTCCTGATTGGTGAATATTTTGGGTTTTTGCTTAATAATGAGCTCATTTCTGAGTGTGGGTGTTAAGCTACTGCTGTTGGGTAAATGCCCAAACACAGGATTGTATACTGGTCATAAACTAGTCACTGTGTCCAAGTTATGGTTGTTACCAGTCACAGTATCTAAGTTATGGCTTTCACTTCTATTGTGTTTCATGGCTTTTCCCCAATAGGGACCCCACATTGTGTAAGACTGGAAAGGTAGGAGAGTATGGCAAGATTTGAACATAGGTCTGATCCAACACCTGCCCCCTCCCAAAAAAAAGATACTTGGACTACCTACTTCACAGGGTTTGTGTGAGGATACAACAAGCATAACATACTTCATAAATAATAAAACAGACCCCTTTTCCATTATACTTTGAGGTCTGCAAAAACATTCCTTAAAATAACCTTTCATTTTAAGGATGAAGAAACAGGCTTAGAGAAGGTACATGATTTGCCTGAGGTCATATGGCTTATGAGTATGCAAATAAAATACTTTATTATTCTTATTATTGTAATCCTTGTGTCAGATTATTTGTATAAAGCCTTCATTTTGATTCTTTTGTGGATGTTCTTTCCATTTCATTGTTGTAGTTACTGCGTATGCTGTTTTCTTGGCTCAGTTTATTTATATTTGCTTTAGTTCATATAAGTCTGGCTCCTCTTTATTTGTTATGTTTTACATATAATTTCTTTCACAGCACAGTAATATTCCATTATATTTATGTACTGCAAGTTGTTTGGACATTTCTCAACTGATGGGAATCTACTCCCCCCCCCCCCAGTTATTTGCTAGTACAAAAAGTATTTTCTATATATAATATGTTTCTTCTTATCAATGACCTCCTTGGAATATGTGCCTAGCAATGGAATTCCTAAGTCAAAAGGTGTAGAATTTTTAACCACTTTATTTGAATTAGTCCAAATAGCTTTCCAAAATGTTTGTACTAATTCACATCTTCAGCAACAAAATATTAGTGTGCTTTTCTTTCCACAACTACTCTAACACTGATTATTCTCATATTTTGTCACTTTTGCCAATTTGCTGGATGAGACATAAAACCTCAGTATTGTTTTGGTTTTCATTTCTTTTATTATTCTCTTGGTGGTTAGATGCTACAGTGGACAGAGTGTGAGACCTAGAGTTAGGAAAACTCAAGTTCAAATCTGGCCTCAGATATTTGCTAACTATATGACCCTGAGCAAATGATTTACTATATTTGTCTCAGTGTCCTCATCTGTGAAATAGGGACAATAATAGTATCTTCCTCTCAAAATTGTATCAATTAAAATAATAATTTAAAGTGCTTAGTACAATGCCTGGCACATAATAAGTATTATAAAAAATGTTAGGAAGAAGAAGAAGAAGAAGAAGAAGAAGAAGAAGAAGAAGAAGAAGAAGAAGAAGAAGAAGAAGAAGAAGAAGAAGAAGAAGAAGAAAAGAAGAAGAAGAAAAGGAGGAGGAGGAGGAGGAGGAGGAGGTGGGGTGATGGTGGTGGTAGTAGTAGTAGTAGTAGTGATTTGGAGCATTCTTCATATGGTTGTTAATATTTGGCAGTTTCTTTGACTACTCATCTATTGGGAAATGGATTCTGGTCTTGCATATTTCTTTTAATTATATAAGAGTGTACATATGTATTGGATTCCTAAACTTTATCTGCAAAATTTTATACAAAGATTTTTTTTACCCTATTCATTCCTTCTCATCCAAATATGTTAATTTTGTTTTCCAGAAGTTTTTCAATTTCCTGAAAATGATCTCTTCTATCTTTTGTAATTGCCCCTATTCCTTGTTTTGTTAAGAATTCATCTCCTATCTACAGTTGTTAGATGTATATTTCTAATTGCCTTCCCTTCTAACTTCTTATGGTATAACCTTTAATATTTAGTTTGTGTATCCATTTTAAATTTATTATAGAATATGGTGTTAGATGTTGGTCTAAGAACAATTTCTTCCTGACTAATTTCCTGTACTATTTACAATTCTTATCAAAAAGAGATTTCTTGTCTAAGCAATTTATATTTTGGGATTATCAAACACTCAGTTATGGAATTCAGTTATGTCTGATCTTTCCTAATCTAATCTGTTTTATTTATATGCTTTTTTTTTTTAAAAAAAAGCAGGTCAAATAGTTTTTATTGTCACTGCTTTACAATGCAATTTGAAGTCTGGAAGGGCTAGTACTACCTCTTCATTTATTCTTTTTCATTCTTTGTTTTAATATTCTAGTTCTTTACTTCCTCTGAATAAATTTTATTATGTTGGCTAGCTCTGTAAAGAATCCCTTTTGTAGTAGGGAGAAGCTAATAGAAAGGAGTGTGGATTAATAAAGTCAGTGGTCAGAAGCAAAACAGACTTTTGAGAAGGGACAGGGAAAAAAGAGAGAGAGAATAAAAAAAGAAAAAAATAGAATGAAGGTAAATACACAGTTAGTAATCAAAACCTATGAATGTGAATGGGATGAACTCACCCATAAAATGGAATTAGATAACAGAATGGATAAGAAACCAGAATCCAGTAATTTGTTGTGCACAAGAAACATACTTGAAACAGAGAGACACATACACAGTAAAAATAAGAGACAGAATCTGTTATTTTTCAGCTGAGGTTAAAAAAAAAATAGGGGTAGCAATCATGATCTCAGACAAAGCAAAAGAGTCATAATTAAAAGGGACAAACAGGGAAGCTACATTTTGCTAAAAGATACAATAGACAATGAAGTAAAATCAATACTAAACATATTTGAATGAAATAATATAGCATCCAAATTCTTAAAGAAATAGTTAAATGAGATACAAGAGGAAATAGTAAAACTATGCTACTGAGGGAACTTAACATTTCCCTCTCAGAAGCAGACAAATCTAACAAAAAAAATAAAAAGAAAGGAGTTAAGGAGGTGAATAGAATTTTTTAAAAGGTCAATATTATAGGCCTCTGGAAAAGTCAAAGGGGAGTAGGAAGGAGCGTACCTTTTTCTCAGATACACATGGAACCTTCACAAATTTGACCGTGCATTAAGGCATAAAAACCTCACAAACAAGTGTAAAAAAACCAGAAATGTTGAATGCATCCTTTTCAGACCACAATGCAGTAAAATATGACATTTGATAAAGGGCTATGGAGACAGAGATTTAAAAATAATTGGAAATTAAACAATCTAATCC